AAAAGTCCTGAGGGAAATAGTTTAATATATGTAGTCGGCTATATTTAAAAAAAAAGATGTTTATTACAGCATTCCTGTCAAACGTGTACTAATTTTAACCCCGACAATACCCCGCTTGGTGGTTTAACTATGCCTAATAAAGATATAGTTGATGCTATTTTGAATATGGAGCATATTTTTATTAAAGACTTTAATAATATGGCTGGTCAAAATGAAATAGGTTATTATTATAAAAATAAATTCTCAAGTTTAATTTTTTCTCATCCCTGTAAGGACTTACCTTATGATTATTTTGTCTCTTTATATACAAGAAGTCGGATTTATTTAACATTGAAATTTTTCAAGTTGAAAAAATCAAGTAACAACATCGGCAGGAAAGGTAGTCATAAAGACATAAAAGTCCAAAAATTATATCTATTTTAAAAATTTTTTAATTTATCTGACTTATGTATTGTACCGATTATACCACTCTATGTATATTTTTCCTATATAGAAGGATGTGGTTAATAAGTGATTATCGTTTGGTGGCCATATTGTAATTGTCATTTTTTGAAATATTAATTCAGAAGTCATTTCTGTCAGTTCCACAAAATATCCCGTCAATTCTTATTACAAAATGGCAAAATATATGTACTTTTTTTATTTCGTTGTATACTCGTTTGAATACAACTCGATGTCTCGGGATTATCTAATACTTTTACCTGACACTCAACGCGATACTGGCAATACTATTCCTCCTTCGGAGTCGTAGTGTTGCCGAGTAACGCATTTCGTGTTAGGTAAAAGTATTATTCGGTAATCCCGAAACATCTTGCGGTATTACATTCGAAAATCATCCCACTATTTTACCTATCGAGTTATATATATACGAGTATATACGAGTTATATAATCTCAGGACGAATTCTTTTGGTAAGACTTTACATGGTCACTAAAACTTGACATATTACTTAAATTTTAATAAAGTGGTGCAAATATTTGAACCCGTTGCTAATGTTTCAAAATGTTTTTAAAATATATATTCAGTTTTGCAAATTAGCTCCACAAATTTATCATTTCGCATTTGTAGGTTTCCAAATGTATCATTGTTTCGATTTTAATATGCTTTTAAAAAGCAATAAAAAGATGAATCATCCAACACAGTGCAAACACAACTTTGCTATAACTTATACAACTTTCACAAGAGTGTATTTTTAGTGCCTTATTTAGGAGGTATCTGCATACATATCTTATAAAAAAATGTTGTAACAATTCATCTTTTGAATAAGTTAGATTAATTATTTATTATTTCTAAGTCTGGGTGCAAATTATATTTTTTAGCCTCCTCATCCTCAGGTACAAAATATTCTTGAAGGTCAGGAAACTTTAAGAGCATCTGATCAACATCTCCCTCGCAATTTTCTGTATCCGAGTTAAGGAGATTAATGCACTGCAATTAACGAAAGGTTCTGTGGTTGTGATGGGGTTGTAACTGTATGGGGGTGGGATTTACGCAGTTGCCATTTAGCCTTCGAATTTTGCCAAAATAATTTTCAAGACAATCTTGATTCAATCTCTTAGTTAATACATATTCGCAGCCTGCAGTGTCATGAAGGAAATTGAATAATTCAGTAGTACTCTTTATCGTTATTTGAATACTTTTAACAAATTTAAGTTTTCTAGTAACATTAATATTATTTTTATCCCTAACCACAAGCTTTTCAAATAAAGAAAAGCATTCTTTTAAAAATTGCAATTGAAAGGGTGTACCTTTAAAGGCTGCATAACATTTTTTCGAGGCAAATTGTTGGGAGGAATTTAATATGTCAAATAGCTGATCCATTTTGTTTAAAAATTCAGCAGTTTCGGTTGCTTCTGCTGGAAGGTATCCAAATCTCACCAGGGATGAGTTTTTATTCATCCCTATATGTACAGGTTAATAGCTGAATATCTGAGTGGCTAATTTTACCTTCGTTTTCTGGAAGTTGGTGGGATAAATATGCGAATCTGTCAATTTACGCGCAGCTTTTACTATTTTTTATCAATTTCATAAAAGTCTTTGATATATTCCAGGAATTTTTTTTGTCATCAACATAAAAATCATATTGCATTAGCATATTTTTTATGGCTTTGATTACATGTGGGATATCAAAAATGTAAAAAAGATACCAATCTTCTAAATAAAAACCTGTTTGTTTGGGGGAGACTTTTAAAATATTTGAAAGTTTTTTAGCCCAACAGTTGTTAACTTTTGCAGTGCATTGGTTAAAATTTTTAACATTAATTCGACCGGACAGGAAATATGACACATGAAATAAGCGATAGGATGCTTCCATTTACAATAAAGACCCATCAGCATAAGTACAGAGGCAGTCAAAGTCGGTTTGAATACCTTTTCCTCGTTAGTACCCATGGCTATTCCGATTATACAATCCTCATTACGCTTGTAAAATAAATTAGCCTTTATAGCCATTTCGTCAAAACATAATATGCAATATTTGTTTTGTTCCTGAAAACTATCAACCTTTTTTATAAATAATTTATAAAATTTTGGGTTTTCGGGCCCTATTTTAATTGCTCTAATTCCACTTAGCAATGTAGTTGGAGAAGGAAGAGCGTATTTTTTCATTAAAAAGTTTTATAAACGCCGGGACCTCCAAAATATATGGATAAGCATTCGATTTTAAAGGATTTGCTATAACCTCTCCCTCTTGGGTGCTTATTCCCATGTGCTATTTGCATATTTATACATTTAGCAGTGTCCACGCAGTTGCAAAACTTATATGCAAGAGACAAATACTCATTAAGAGATATATTGTCTAATTTCTTATCTAATTGGTTTTCAAGTAACTGATTCTTTTGTCGCAAATATTTGTTTTCTAATGTTAACGACCTAATATTCTGCCTACATTTCCTCTTTCTCGGAGTACCCGCAGTCAAACTGGTTGATGTTTGGGTTGATGTTGGAGACATCACAGGGCTAGTATTGCTAGTAGTTGATATCTGAGAATTACTCCTACTTTTCGAGCTCGGTGTCAATTTTAAGAGGCTGAAGTGGCTGATCAGCTGCAAGAAATACACTTTATTTAAACAAGTGCTTTAGCAAAGGATAAGGCAGCTTAGCTTAATTGTTACTTTTTGAATTAAAAAAATAAATACCTAAATCAGCGTTTGCAACAGTTGGAACCAATGGTCTGTCACTTTCTTCAATAGAGGGAACTAAGGCTGGAACTATTATTCTATCATCCAGAATTTGTACTTTTGCAGAATATAGGGGAAGTGCGCTATTCGAATGGTCACTTTTATAGCTGCCTTCAAGTGATGGAAATAAGGTTGGTAAAGCATTAGCTACTAATCTGGTATGAAGATTACTGGAAAACATTCTTTCCTCGATAAATAAAATAACCGTCAACTGCGACGTCATTAAGGGTCTCCTTATAATGCTTATTTAATCCGGTCGAAACCAAAACTCTCCTTAATTCGGATTCTCGATGATGTGCCATGGCAAGGAGTCGGCCGGCATCCCCCAGCCACTCCAACAGATTCCGATCTCCCCCTCCTTCTTCCTTTAACAATGCTGAAATGGCCTTGCCAATAGCAGTCATACCAGCACCTATCCATTTCTGAATATCTGCCAATGTATTATCTCTACTCTTATGCTGATCCGAGAGAGACATCATAATTTCAGGATTTACCTTGGGCGCTGCTACCAACTTGCAATATTCAATGGGCGGATATTTATTAGCTAACATAGCGATCACATCATCCGATAATCCATTTTTTAAAACATTCTCCCACGTCCTTGCCACAGTAGGGTGTATTTTGTCCGATGTTAAGGTTTGCTGATGGCTATCAGCGCCAAGAATGCCCAAAATGGAAGGATCTAGCTGCTCTTCCTCTAAAAAAATAAAAATGTGCTATTTTCCACTAGCGCCATCTTAATTTTTAAGGGATAACAATAGGACGCCATCTATTAGTAGTTAGTAATACCATCAGCATTACAGTATACTGAAATTTAAAAATCCTATTGGTATTTTAAATTTTATGATTTCGGTATTAATAACCGGATCAATAAAAATCTTTGTGATTGTGAGGTTAAGTTAGCATCGCTAGATCCGGTGTCTGACGAGGATGACTCTGAAGACTGCCGTTGCCGCTGCCGCCTTCGCAATTCTTCCAATTTCGCTAATTTTGAGCGAAGATGTTTAATTCTAATTAGTCTTTCCCCGTGTGATAAATCACTTGGTGAAACTGATCTTTTTCTCTTTCCCATTTTTATTCTTATATGCCTAAAACGAAAGACGCGAAACCGATTTAAGTATCTTGACACCTTTGCACAATAAGGAATAATGAAGAAGGGAACCGACGCGCGACGCTAGGGTATGGAGGGCAGGATACGAGAGCTTTCAAAATTGTGGCGACACCTGTGCAATACCGAGTATACTACATAATTATTCTAGAGCGGGAGGCGCAAATAACATTTTTAAATTTAAAAGCAATAAATTGTTTTCTTGACAATTTGAAGAACTTTTTTATAACTAAACTCAATTGTATAACATGATTTTGTAATATTTGTTTTTTAGCAATTAGAATAAAAAATAATTCAGATGCTATTTCTAATTTGAAAGATTATTATTATTTATCAGTTTTTTTCAATTAAATATACAGGTTTTCTAAAAATATCTAATTTACTTATTATTTTGACATACACTAACTTAATCATTTTTTTCTTTCAAGTATTTGTTCTTTTTTAAAAATAAATTAAGATTGATTAAGAACTGATTAAAACTATTTTATTCCAAAAATATAATAACATAAATATATACATATTTAAAAAAATATTTATTACATATAATAAGTACATGTTATTGATAGTATAATACACAAGTTTTTTTTACTAGGTACTATTTATATTTGGCACAATAAGTAGTGGGTTTTGTTTCTGAAAACAATACATTTTTATATTAAGACTTTGCTGCAAATATGTATGGATAATTTATTTACCTTTATATTTTAATGTTCAGATTTTACTGTAGTTTAAGCTATATCAATCAAAGGTATCCTGAATATCTTCCATCCTTTAAATTCTTCGAAACCTTACAGAATGTGTATTTACGAATTATTATATTTATTTTATACAAAGTTTTACTCACTTATAATAGAAATATAAAATACCTTACACATTTGTCCTACGTCAGATAAATTTCTGTAATCTTATATCATTGTTCTGTTAAGATATTCTAAAAAGTATTCGAAAACACCCAAGTTGTGTCTATGCAGGATTTTTTTATCCTAAATCTTAATTTTCAATAAATCTATAAAATAAATGAGTTAACGAAGTTATAAATAGCAAAACAAAAATAAATACCTTTACAAGATCAGTCCTATGCTCTGTGGGAAAATTCCATTCGAGCTATGGGGAAATTCCATCGATTACATTGGTACATTGGTGCCGATTTTCATGTATACGAAGAGAATATGGCCAATATGCTTACTACAATAAGATGTATTGAAGAAAGCATATCAAATCATCAGATTAAGTGGTTATGTAATAAATACTTGGTATTTTTCTATCTCTCACTAAATCACCGTAGCGATTCACACCTAGACATGTAAACACCAACCCAGGCTTGCCGATATGTCCTTGTGCTAGAAGAATAATATAGAGGTCTGTGGTCTAGCAAGACTGACACTTATATCTCATATGATCGAAAAAACGGCGTCCAGTTGGCTTGGAAATGACGATCGATGACATTCCCTATATAATTTTACATATGAAAGACATTGATCATATTGTACCTACCAGGTACCTACCTTTCTCATATATAATATACCCTATGGCTATGCCTTATGATTTTAAAGATGATAAATTGTTTTTGTATTATACGTATATAGCTGTAATTTAAAAGAAATAAATTTCGTAAAACACACGATATACTGAATAGATTCATAATACAATACTTACTAGTTTACTAACTTGCCAGTTTAATGGTACTTAGTTATCAGTTTTTAATCAGTTTTCCTGTGAGTTTGAGATTTCTTTAACCTTAAAGTTCTCATCTCTTTTAAACCATCTCATGCTTAATACATGCCCGTGCTGTTTCCTGAAGAATCAATTTTTGTAAGCTACAACATATAGATATAGTATTTTGGGGTTTGTCTGTAACCGTCCGGATGCATCTGTCAGTTATATCCAATGTGGACATGAAAAAAGTTTTACAAACTCGAACTTTGGCTCCTTCCTGGTCTGACAAATGAAATGCGTTATTATTGCGCCGGGTTAGTGTTTTGTACTGATACTTGGGAACATTGGCCGAGATATTGAATGCAATAAAATTCCTTTTACTTTGCAAATCCGGTAGTCTATAGAAAGAATCGAAGATATGTTGACGAGTGGCATGATCAAATTTTGTAGAGCATTTCAAATGGCATTTTTCAGGACAACCTAGTCCTAGTCTTCTTTGTCGTACAAGTTTTTTGTTTTTACCTAAATACTCTCCTGAATTTCTTAAACGTTTCGCGATATTACTCTTCCAATTTTGTGGATTGGCTTTTATCTTTCTGGATAATTTATTTTTGTCTATTTCCGGTGTCCTTCTTCTTCACTAGATTCTGATAAGTCGTTCTTCGCATCCCTACAATCAGGATCTGTAATGTCATTATCTGATGAAGTCATTTCTTTCTTCTTTTCCCGATCCATTATTTTCTTCTATCTTCTCCTCTACCGGACTTTTCCTTTCTTCTAAAATTACTTCTGAATGGGCGTTATTCTTCATGACATGGCTAGTTTGACTGGTTTCATTGTCAGATGAATTTGAAGTCGAACTCGTTGAGGTGCAAGAACATGACGACGAGGATGATGAAAATGAAGATTTTCGACTTGAATTCAATCTGTTTTCGTCGCTGTTATAATCTAAAAATCAGTGATTTATTATACTGATATCGAAAGAAAATATTTTTTATATTAATACCAGCATGATCATTCGTTTGTTCACAGTGAGCCGTTTCAGTACAGTTTAGAATGTTCACATCATTCTCCATGTTTTCTTTGGGATTTATTGTAGAAGATGATGGTTGACAAGAAACTTCTAGGTTTTCATCGACACAGGTTTCTATAAACATGAACACTTAATAATTCTATAGTAAGTTTAATAGTAAGTGCGTGAATGGGGATCTCCAGGTAACTAGTAGGTTGAGTACCTACTCAATATTATGTATATATATATATAATTTCAATATTATGACAAAAATGATGTTTTGATACGAAATTGTGACCTTTTGAACCCGCAAGTTATAATAAAACTGCTTTTGACTATACCTATAATAATACCTGCAGAATAATTATTTTTCTGTTCAACATTAGCTACTGTTGTCGAGGTTTGTGGTGTTTCATCCTCTGGATATAGGTAAGTTATGGAGAAAAGTGATGATAGTTCATCCGGCGAAATTGATAAATTTCCATTAACACAAGGTTCTAAAAATAAAAATGTTTAGAGTTTTTGTTGGCGCATTTATTGTAATAGAACGAAAACATAAAAGTTAAATAAAATGGTTTGGGGCTCTTCACCTTTTACCGATAAAGGGAATGGCTCGATAAAGTATCACAAATCATTTCAATAGACTTTGAAAATAATACTATACCATTGTTTAAAATATTATGTTCGTTGATTTACGAAGTGCTGCTTTTTTTAATTGCTCCATAAAAAGTGCTCTCTCTGCCATCGTGAGATCTTAATCCTGGCCGTCTCGATGATTCTTAACGTTCTTGATCATAACTTTAAAAAATTTAAAAAGCATAATTGAATAAATTTTTAAGATGATCTAAATCAATGACATTTACCTCAAAATTTGATTAATAAAGACGCATTTCAAAACGAGGAACAGAATTGTGGTCATTCTTTCGAAAATAACGAAGTTTTTTAATTACGACAAAATAATTTAGTCTATTTGTCATGAATATTGGCTTAAGTACGATGGGTTAGTATCAAAGATAAATAATTAAAAAAAAAGATCATATTTTTTTCAAGAAAACAGACATATTACAAAATAAGACAAAAAAGAAACTTACCTTTAACACAAACAACGACGAATTTCGAAATCCGCCACTTTTCTTCATGAAAATATTTAATATTTCACGCCCGAATTCGTAACGCCCGTTCGTGTTTTCATTGTGACATAAATGGAGCAACTAATTTACGTCGATGTCCGCGAGAAACATTGGTATCTTTTGTCTCAAGCGGATACTGACGCTTTCTCTTTCTAGCTTTTTTTCGGCGAATTTCGCTGTAAGTCTTTGTTTACGATAAAATATAGGTGATTTATGATCGTTTTCTGTATTTATCTCAATTTTGGCAAATTTTGAGTTGCGTCGTTATTCTTACAAACCAGCGATATATGACCTATATACAGGGTGGCCCATCGAAAATGTTCCGCAAGGCATAACGGCCAGGGTATTTTTTTTTTCAAAAAATCCAAAAACACGTCAATTTTGTTTGTGAGGGGGACAACTTTTGCCCCAAAAATGATTGCAAAATCTTCAACCCACTAAGCGGGGGTGTCATCCCCCAACTTTTTTTAAATGGGAAGGGGGGTCAAGTCGCGTCGCAATGAAAAGAGCTTTCTATTCTCTATATTTCCCCGCTTCGTTTTTGAAAATCGGTCAAGTCATTGAGGAAATATAAAAGATTGAAATTTGAAAAGTTTATTTAAACATTTATCAGAGTAAATGATAAGGATAAATTCCTTCGACCAATTTGCTGTTTTTTTTCTTATTATTTCTAGATGTTTACGCATTTTTTCACTTGCCACAAGGTTGAATGATCAGGTGCGGTAGTTGCTAGAAAGCTGTTCTGTGACTTGTGCGTTGAAGTTCTTCTCAATATCGTTAAACTGACCCACAATAGAATTTCCAAAAATACCAGCCCACGCGTTCAATTTCGGAGGGTTTTGTGTGTGTACCTCGTGAAAAACCCTGGGGTTGCCCAGTACCGACAGTTGTGCCGACTGAATTTTGTACGGATGGAACTTGGTGTTTTTTTAATATCCTTTATGGACACTTGTACGATTCACGCCGGTCTCATTGGCTAATTTTCTTGTACTCAGCGTACTATCCATGGCAACTTGGCTATCCATGGCAAATTCATTTACTACAGGATTTTCCCTCTGCCTCTTTTTATTAATAACGGAACCAGTTTCGTGAAATTTTGCTACTATCTCGCGAACGATACATTCAGTATTTTTAAAATAGTTCGATTATTTCCACTTTTTATGCAAGTGAGTACAGCATAATTGTTAAAAAGTTTTACGATATTGAGAAGAACTTCAACGCACAAGTCACAGAACAGTTATCTAGCAACTACCGCACCTGATCGATCAACCTTGTGGCAAGTGAAAAAATGCGTAAACATCTAGAAATAATAAGAAAAAACAGCAAATTGGTCGAAGGAATTTATCCTTATCCTTTACTCTGATAAATGTTTAAATAAACTTTTCAAATTTCAATCCTTCATATTTTCTCAAAGACTCGACCGATTTTCAAAAAGCGGGAAAGTATAGAGAATAGAAAGCCCTTTTCATTACGGTACCACTTAACCCCCCTTCCCATTTGAAAAAAATTGGGGGATGACACCCCCGCTTAGAGGGTTGAAGATTTTGCAATCATTTTTGGGGCAAAAGTTGTCCCCCTCACAAACAAAATTGACGTGTTTTAGAATTTTCTGAAAAAAAATTACCCGGCCGTTATGCCTTGCGGAACGTTTTCGATGGGCCACACTGTATAAGAAATAAGTAAACAATTCTGAAAAACATATATGACCTACTAGGAAATAAATAAAATAATTCTGGTAAACATATGACCTACATCTAAAAAATAAAAAAAAATCTGAAAATCATATGACATACATATTGTAAGAAATGTTTTTTTTTGAAAAATATCAACTACATCATGTATATCTAAAAAATAAAATAAAAACTCTGAAAAATATGAAATATATAGAAGAAATAAAAAAATTCTGAACAAATATTAACTATATCTAAAAAATAAAAAAAATCTGAAAATTATATCTATGACATACATAATGTGTAAAAAATATTTTTTTTTGGAAAAATATCAACTACATCATGTACAAATATCTGTACATATATCTAAAAAATAAAATAAAAACTCTGAAAAATATGAAATAAAAAAAAATTTAAATTCTGAAAAAATATTAACTATATCTAACTATATCTAAAAAATAAAAAAAATTCTGAAAAATATACCTAAGATCTTAATCTAAAGAGAAAAACATACTTAGAATCTAAATCAAAAAATAAATAAAATATTTAAGTTATAAATAAAAAAAAAAATTTTTTAATATTTTCAGCTAATTGCCTTATATTCACACTTATATCTGTCATGGCAGCTGCCATATCTTTCATAGCAGTTGCCGACAGATATATATGCGTCTATATTATATTTGTGTCTATATTACCGTAAAGTCCCATAACATTGACCGCTTTTGAACTTTATTTTGCAAAATCTTATTAACCTTAAGCGATAAAAATTAAACAAAATTGGCAATATTAGGGCTATACTTAAGCTAATAGACATATGTAGTCATTATTTCGATATCGTGAACATAGTCCCATTTTTTAAAAAAAAATGCTTGGTGGTCAAAGTTACGACGTTAGAAGGTAACTTTGACCACCCACCTAAAATCTATGACAAGCCAATTTTGCCGTCGCGCAGAGTAACATTGACCGCTAAAAATGTTTTTAAAAAAATGCGTTAGCTATAAAAAATACAAAAATCTGATTTAAAGTGAAAAAAATACAAAATATTTTTATTCATAAAATATCGCTTACAAACAAAACAAATTTCCCTCTTTATTAAATAAAAAGGCACTTAAACTTAACAAATAAAAAACCCTGCCTAGCCTTACGTCTTAAATAAACTAACTAAAAGGGAATTCTTTGGTTTAAACCGTAACACAATCAATGAGGAAAAGAAAGTTAAAAAAATTAACCTAAAAGATTATTTTTTTAAAATACCTATCACTCTATCTTTTGAGTCTTGTTGTGAAGTTCTTCAAAAACTAAATATCGTTTTCTCTCAAGAGGTTTTTTTAATTTTAAGACGATCTGTTTTTTTTCTATGATTGAGTGATCCACAACGTTGGGCCAGAAAAATTTTAAATTTTTGTTTCGCAAAAATGATAATTCTAAAATCGGATCATTCGCAACTACCTTCCCAACATAGTATTTGTTGCTGTTACACTTTGAGGAAGTCTTAAAACTGACAAGTAAGTAATCATCAACCTCTATACACTCATTAATATCTCTATGGTATTCCTCAACGTCAATTTGCATTTCATTTTCTTTACTTAATGCCTTGAATTCACTTGTTTGTTTTAACTGGGTTTCATTTTTTTCGATTGCGTTAGATAATTCTGCCAAAGGCGCTCATCATCAGACGACCATTCTCTTTCTTGTTCCTTTAACTGTTTTTCACAATAAGTCTCCCAATTTTCATCTTCTGAAGAATCCATATAATGTATGTCTTCTTCAGAAACCGAAGATTGGTCGTCACTCTCATTTTTCTTTGATGACTTTTTAGGTCTTTTCTTCGTAGAGACAGTGGAACAAGAAGGCAGTGAAACCTGAGGCGGCTTGTTCAGCAATAAATCCTCTACAGAAATGCTGGCTCCAGCCTGAACATTAACTTTAGATCTGCGTTTTTTTGGGGCGTCACTATTATCGCCGTATCTCATGTTTTTTAACATATCTACTACTATTGAGGAAACCATAGTCGATGCGGGAGTAGAATTCTGGTCGTGATTGTTTTCTTGGGGTAGGCGGTTTAAAACTTCTTTAGAATTAAAAGGACTAATTCCGCATTTTTTAAATCCTGAAATTAGGTTTTGTGAATAATTGTTAGGCGCAACGACCTCTGTTAATTTTTTTAACAAACGTGGAAAGTGATCTTTTTGAATCGTTTGAGAATTTTTCTTTTGCGATTGCTTCCAATTGTCTAAAATCTCTCTCCATCTTCTTTTTAACGGACCATAGAAACCTACATCTAGAGGCTGGGTGAGATGTGTTGCGTTTTTCGGCAAACAAGCAAACGTTATATTGTTCCTCTCAGCTGAACTAAGAACCTCCTGAGTAAAATGACTTGAAAGATTATCTCCCAATAATACTACTCTTCCGTTTATATATTTTTTTACATATGGCACAAAGAGATTTAAAAACCAGTCAGTAAAAATGGTGGCATCGAACCATCCACTTTTACTTCGATTGTAACGAGTGTTCGGCGGCCCTCCTTCCATCCAAGTTAACCATATTTTTTCAGCTTTGTATACAACGTATGGTGGTATTATTTTACCGGCCGCCGATCCACAAAACATGATGGAGACACTAGATTTGGTAGAGTCTCGAATCCTCTCTGGGTACTTAACGCCTTTTTTAAAAATATATTTCTTTGTACCAGGATCGTCAGAGAGGTTC